GTTACAACACCACTTGGTCCATTCTTAAGAAGGCTGCCCCTTACGCAAGTGGAAGATCAAGATGCAACCTATGCTTACAAGAGAAGCTGCTGATTCTGAAATTTCGCGACAAAAATCTGCTGAACAAACGATCTAAAATCTTTTCGAAGTGCGTGCACCAGAAACAATTTTATGTGGTCTGCGAGCGTGAAAGCAAATATCAACAATCTTCGCGCACGCGCACAGTCGCGTCATCAAGCAAGGAAAAACCAACGGGTTTTAAGAACAATGTCTCTTGATGATCGCAGTAATGCGTGAAACTCGTATATATATATATATACAAGTATATATATATATATACTCGTATATTATATATATATATATAATGTAACCATGAACTATAAACAATGTGATGATAATATTATGAGCAATGTTAATTCTGAATTGAAAGAAATTACGGACAAACTATCCATATCAGGCAGAGTTGATATTATGGCAAGGAAAAACGCGTTCGTAACGTTTAAAGATCATAAGGAGAACCTTGACAATAATCCTAAATGCCGCCTCCTGAATCCATCAAAGAGCGAGCTTGGAAAGGTCAGCAAAGTTGTTTTAGATAGAATAAATGATGAAATAAGATCCACCATCCATGTAAACCAGTGGAAGAACACCCAATCTGTTCTAAAATGGTTCCAAGGAATTAAAAACAAGTGTGACTACTCCTTCCTTTCCTTCGATGTTAACGAGTTTTACCCATCAATTTCGGAAGATCTCTTGAACAGTGCAATTTCCTGGGCGAGAACTATGACAAATATCACGCCGGAAGAAGAAACTGCCATCAAACACGCACGTAAATCGCTTCTTTTCCACGGGGAGAGAACATGGAGTAAAACCAATGATTCGGACGGTGCCCTTTTTGATGTTGCCATGGGGAGCTACGATGGTGCCGAGGTGTGTGAACTTGTTGGTTTGTTTATATTAAATACTTTAGCGTCACTGCTCGGGAATGACATGGTTGGTCTGTATAGGGATGATGGCTTAGTGCTGGTAAAAGGGAGCAAGGGTAGATCGGCGGATAAGGCTAGAAAGGAACTCCATCGCATTTTCGATCAGTTCGGTTTAAAGATCACCGCTGATGTCTGCCATCAATCAGTGAACTTTCTTGATGTAACCTTAAACTTGAAAGAAAATAACTTCACTCCCTATCGAAAACCAAATAATGATCCCATTTATATTGATAGCCGTTCTAATCATCCACCATCAATTATCAGACAACTCCCAAAATCAATTAATAAACGTATATCCTCCCTTTCCTCCGACAAACCGAGTTTTGATTCAGCCGCTCCTTTATACGAAGATGCACTGAAGCAAAGCAATTTCAATACCAACCTAAGGTACGACGATGAAACAAATAGTAGTAAGCCCAAGAAACGAACCCGATCAAGAAACATTATTTGGTACAATCCGCCCTACAGCAAGAACGTGAAGACGAAAGTTGCAGAAAATTTCCTTCGTTTAATAGACAAGCATTTCCCCAAATCATCGATCCTACATAAAATTTTCAACCGAAACTCTGTCAAAGTCAGTTATTCATGCATGAACAATATTAAAGCATCAATTTCAAACCACAACCGGCGTGTTCTTAAGAATCAGAATCCCTCCCAAATTCCATCGAAATCGTGTAACTGCAGAATTAAAAGTAAATGTCCACTGAACGGCAATTGTCTCGTGAGAAGCGTTCTGTATAAAGCCCAGATTATAAGCGACAATGGGAAAGTGGTCAAGAATTATATAGGAATGACGGCGGGTCCTTTCAAGCTAAGATATAGCAATCAATTGAAATCATTGAACAATGAGCGCTATTCGACAGAGACGGAACTTTCGAAATATGCTTGGGGTCTTAAATAGCAGAACAAGTCATTCCAAATAAAATGGTCGATCATGAAGCAAGTTCCAGCCGTTTGCCCAGGAATGAAAGTTTGTTCTCTGTGCACCGAGGAAAAAAGAATGATTATGTTATCGGACAAAAATAATACATTGAATATAAGATCTGATTTGTTTAGCAAATGTAGGTGTAGGCATATATAGGAGCAGTTATAAAGCTTCTAATTTCAAACGCGCGCGCGCAAGTAAACACAATCATTTAAATGCTTGCGTCAGCAATCTAAGAGCGTCAGCGTAAACCGTTGTAATTTATTACGAGATAATTTTAAAACATCAATCGCCTGATGATCGTACGCTGTACGTGAAACACTGTGTAGCGATGAAATAAAATTTTAAGTTTGAAATTTGTTGTTTTTGTCTTTGTATTTGCTCTACTGATTTATTGGTGTTGATCACTCTACAGGGTGTCCCAAAAAAAAGTGACACTATAGAAATTATCCTATTGTTATAATTTGAATGCCCTGGCATTAAGTTGATCCCTCTTGTGCATAAACTTCTGCTTCTGAAATTTAAAATAAAAAAGCAAACCGTTTATTAGTGTGATCGTTTTGCTTGACTCGGGCGTTAAAATATTTGGACAAAGCGAAAACGTTATAAAATGCTTAAATGTAAATACAAGTTCATTAAATTCCCAGGCGTGTAATCACGCGCGTTTAAGAGCGGCTTAAGATAATTTCTATAGTGTCACTTTTTTGGGGGACACCCTGTAGTTCGCTACGCACAAATTCAATATTGAATATTCTATAATCTATATATGTTCTATAATCTATATATATAATCTATATATTGAATATTCTATAATCTATATATATATATATATATATATATATATATATATATATATATATATATATATATATATATATATATATATATATATATATATATATATATATATATATATATATATAATTGTTGTCTTTTTTACTTGACACGGTTATATAACCACAATAAATCTTTCAATAATGTTATATACAGGAACAATACGGAGCTCTCAAAATACGTGTGGAACTTAAAGGAAAAGCAGCAGGACTTTACGATTAATTGGTCTATCCTAAAACGAGCAGCCTCGTATTCCAGCGGTGGAAAGAGATGTAACCTTTGCCTCCAAGAGAAACTTTGCATTTTAAAAGCGGATAAGTCAAACTTGCTAAATAGAAGACGCGAGTTGTTCTCGAAGTGCGTCCACCAAAAACGATTCTTGGCCGAAAAGTTTGAACGTGCGCAAGCTCAATCACGCACGCAAATTCAGTCACGCAAGCAGCACAACGGATATCAACGTCATCAAGCAGGAAAAGTTAGTTGAACATACATCGTCGCCTGAAGATCGTGAAAACGTGAAACTCAGAGTTGCGACTTAATTAATTTTAAGTAGAAAAGACAACAATTATATATATATATATATATATATATATATATATATATATATATATATATATATATATATATATATATATATATATATATATATATATATATACATTATGAAATCATCATAGTCGTTCTCGTTTCCGTTCAAATGTTGCTTTATAGTAGTATAGACAAACAACGAAAGAAAAAGTTCATATAAACCACGGACGCCGGAGCGAGGGCAGGGCACAGGGGGGCAATGTTAACGTAAGGGCAATCACTAATTAATATTTCGTTTCCGAAAATTTTTTCCGGAACCTTAATTCACCAAAACAAGAGCAAAAAAATTTTGAAAGTTAACCTAATTTTTAACACAATATTCCGGAAAATTTCACGTATATTTCAATATTACGTCCATTTCACCCGTAATTCATACTTTTTAATCGTTGTACCTCGTAGTTTTTGGGTTAGAATTTTTATCTAAGGGCACTTTCGCCCCCCCCCCCTCTGCCACGCTTACTAAAGGCAAGGGGGGCGATGCGTCCCCCCTTTCCGGCGTCCCTGATATAAACTAAATCTCCTGTAGGGCAAAATCCCCTTCAAAATGTGCAAATAAGTCATAACATTAAAAACAAGCCAGATAATTAATACTAATAGATTATTTGCGCCGGATAAACGCTACAAATTATTTTTGAAAAACAAAAAAAGCGAGCTTCCTTTGTTTTTTTGAAAAGTTGTAGTAAGGACTACGAGATTTCTCCACAATTTCGTACTCAGATGGGCGACGGCTACGACTTCTTCGCGTCAGTACGGGATAGCGTGAGCATACAGGATGCGTTTCGCTTGACAGATCTCGTACTCGTAGTCATACTCGTAGTCGCTGCTAAAGCCTGGTTCACACTGGTCGTAATGCGTCGGCGATCTATTGTATTATTTTCCGACAGACAAAGCATTTTACACACCAATGAACACAGACAATGGAAATCCCCGATTCTTACGACCAGTGTGAACCAGGCATTAAGTGTAAAATTTCCCTCCTCCTGGTTTGCGACAAATGACTGAATTCTCGTACCTGAAAAGGTTCTCTTGTGTTAGGGTTGACCATCGTGTAAGTTCCGTTTGTCCTATTGTTTACAATGTCCAAATAACCAGGGCAACCGATTCGATACTGGCATCGCTTGCCGCCGTATCCTTTACGACAGAGACATCGGAATCGGATCGTGGGACTATCAGCATTGGTCGGAGGCTCACAAGTCCCTCCGTGGAGACATAGGTTTTGCTTGCAACAATCTATAGGACAACTTGTTTCCTGTGGAATAAGAAAAAGAACTATGACGTCATTCACCACTACATTAAGGTTCTTCTAAATGAAGTCGTTCGGTGTCAGACATTTTGCAAGATTTAAGGGCTTTTTTTTAAGAATTCGTCAGTATGGGGTGGGGGCATTTACAGAAAGGGGCAATATACCATACCAAGTGCGGAGAGGTGACAGATCGTTGTTGGTGGCAAAAATTTGGTGTGGTGTCGTATCGATCGTAGGGGTATTTTCCCGCAGAAAATGTTGTATTTTTCAACCGCTAGGACTGGATTTTGTGCGTTTTCTGAAACAGATTTTTGGCCTTAAACAACAGTTTAAGGCCAAAAATCTGTTTCCTGCACTACACGGTCAGCGGTAGTCAATTTTAACTTAACATCGCTCTATGTCTCAACAAAGGTCGTAGGTTCGATTCTCACCGTGGCCAGGCATATTTTTGAATCTTGCCCGATGCGGATACACACTCAGAGTAACATTACAAGGATCATATTCACCTGAGTACATCACACCAACACAGAAAAAAATAGTTACATAAGAATTAATAACTCATAAATCGAAGATCCCAAACATCAAGGTACGAAATGTAAGGTTGAAATGAAAGGTTAACCAGTTATACAGTGAAAGAAAGGCCCTGTTTTAGTTAAAGAAAGACCCTGCAAGATGTCAGTACCAAAATACAGTTTCAGAAAATTGCCTAACGTCGATGGAGATTGTCCGACATTATGTTTATTATAGATTAAATAGAAGGTAAATAGAAGGAACACCACTCTGACACAGACGTCAAAAATCTTAAAACTTGAAAAGTAGAACTGCATGTAGTTTACATTTAATGAAACAGATTTCAATCTGTCAATCTCTTCTCGATTTGCAGTTAGAGTGAGCATTTTAGATTTGATGGCAGAGCTATGCAGTATAAACCATGCAGTTAGGTTAGGTTAGGTTAGGTTAGGTTAGGTTAGGTTAGGTTAGGTTAGGTTAGGTTAGGTTTAATTAAGCCATTTAAGGTCGCCAGGGCCTTTTTTAAATACAATCATAAAACAATCATACAATCAATCAATACAATCAATACAATCATAAAACCACATCATAAAACCACAAGCATGCATTAGACAAGACTTTCTGTTATAAATGTAATGGCACTAGAAGGGAGGCCGGTCACGCAGAGCCGGGGAGATTTTCAAGCTCCCAAAAAGAATAGCTCTTAAAAAGTCTCAAAAACGTTCTAAAAGAGTTTTAAAAAGAGAAAAAAGTTTAAAAAGTTAGACTCCTAAAAAAGTTAAAAATTAAAGTTTAAAAAAAATTTAAAAGTTAAAAAAGTTATGGTTAGTGGTTAGGGTTAGTGTTAGGTGCGCGAATTTATTATTATGATAAATTCAAAATGTGCCGCGAATTTATCGTAATGATAAATTCGGACGTGTTTAAGAATTTACTCATATAGTATATTCAAAGGTGGAGTTCATGCTGTTAAATATAAGGCTATGGATTTAGTGGTTTTGGGGGAGAATGGTTAATATATACGTAATTATTACCTGCCAAGGTATAATGTCATAATAAGTATATCCAGGCATGCGCTGTAGCGTCACTTCAGCCCGTGATGACGACAGTAGTTGACAGTCCGTATCCTTAAACATTTGGAAAGCCGAGCAACGGCAATCCATTGAACAGTGGTAAAAACATTGAACACGAGGCGTCTGAGTCAAGTTAAGAAACAGCTCATCGTCGGCTAGACCATAATCCTCCTTGGCCTGGTCAAAACTGACTTCGTACAATGCTTGTGTTAGAATGTTTCGCCCCAAAAAAGGTAGAAGGAAAACTGCCACGGCCAATGAAAGACCACTGAAAAATCTATATGGAATAATTACCATTTGGACAGATGGAAAGATGGATTTATTTTAGTTAAAAAATTTAATTGGGGCCTCCTACAAATCAGCTGAATATATTCGAACTGCATGACAATTAGTCATATCAAATAGGAAATGTATTATATATACCAAGTTGAATTCAAAATATAAAATAAACTATTTTACATTATAAATGAGAAATTTATTTTATAAGATTAAGAAAAGTATTAACTATCCAAATATTTTTTTTATTAGCATTTGTTGGCAAAAAGCTCTAGATCTTCCGAAATGGATCGGAGTCGCTATTTTTAGCGACTCGAGTCCAATACGAAAACGGCGCTAGCTTAATTAAGCTCGCTAATGACTCGAGTTAGCTCATCTACTTTCTTGTTGTGGTTTGGAAACTATTTGTCAGGGGCCCGTTGTATAAAAAAGTGATTAAAGTTAACTATAATTAAGTGGAGACGTCATCCAATAAGAAGCGCCAATTTAAGAGTTAATCAATATTTAACTACAAAATAGTGATTAAAAAAGTGATTAAGAGTTTTATACAACCGGCTCCAGGTCGCTGTCAATGGATAACTGCTCACGGCGCGACATCTACTCCCTTGCCAATCACATCGGGAGTCCCACAAGGTTCATTGCTGGCTCCCAGTGAGGCACCAGTGACGAACTTGAGCATGCACTTAACGCATTCACCTGTACTTTTAAAATCATTAAAAATTAAACGGGAAAATCCATTATCATTATCAATATATACTTTATAAAAACAATAATTTTCTTGCGCATGTTTCGAGTAAGGTAATTCTTGAATCGCAATAATAATGTAAAACAGCAAGCAATATTGTTCAAGACCTACAGTAATCTATAGTCTAAATCAGGCATTAAAATGGCGTATTTTTTTACACACTTTGTGTCCTGGTAAAAGGAAAATGTGTTCTTGTGAATTGAAATGTTTGTACTTATAGGACAGTGTACTCAGTGGTCTTGGAAATAAAGGACGGAAAATCCATTTCCAGCCATTTTAGCAATTTTGTGTAAAGTAATCATCTGTTTATTTGCCTGATGATATAATTTCTAGTTTATATATTTCTGTTTGCCACAATCTGACACAAAAACAGTTTTTGATTCAGTCTCTCTTCATGACTCGAGTCAATTATAGTTAATAGAATAGATGGTTTGGAAACTCATTAGAATAACAATATTTATGTTAGTCAACGTTTATTCATAAATATAATCCTTCACCATCACGTGTGTATTGTATTTTTGCCAAATCCACCAATAGCAATTTCCAATTTACCCTATTGTTCGAGTCGATAATTTTCCTAAAACATTGCTATTGGTGGATTTGGCATAAATACAATACGCACGTGACGGTGAAAGACCAGAATTATGAATGAACGTTGACTAACATACGTTTCCAAACCCGGTCTATTCTATTAACTATGAGCTATGAGGTCAACTCAGCTACAACTTGTACAGAATAAATTCAGAAGAAATTATTGTGATCGATTGCTTGGAAAGAACTGTGAGCCCTGTGAACAATATGAACTTCAAAATTTATCAGAAAATATACGGGGATTTGCATGGAATCTTCGACGGCCATGCATCATGCTTATCACATTTTTGGGCTGCCTTTGCTATAAGTTGCAACGTCTGAAAAAAAATAATAAAATGTTTTAAAGAGGCAATGCACCTACCTTGTTAACATTGCATACATCCAGAAAATAAACTTTTCGATTTTTAAACCGATTTTGACTTCCAGGTTAAACGTTCTTCGATTGGAAAGTGTCAAGCAGTCTGGGCAGCCGCTTTTGCGGAAACGAAATTTTCCAATTTTTTAATTTCGAATTCAGTCTTGCCACCAGGCACCAGTGACAAACAAGAGCCTCGCCCTTTTCCACCTGCGGTCCTTCGCGTTGTGAAATGTATCTCAAAGCTAATCGTATTTAATCATAGCCAACAGAAACCTCATAGAGAACAAGAACACTTAGTACATTCACATGTGCTTTTAATTCTATTTCAGAACCATCCTCAGAGATACGAAAAACTAGTTTCATATTAATCTGACACTGCAATCGAGCAACGAAAAATTCGTTGGCTTGAGCGGGATTTGAACTCATTGGGTATCTAGACCGCCGTTAAGACAAGCGTTAAGCCGTCACGAAAATATTTCGTGCACTTAAATTGGATAAGACTCGCTACCAATCCCTGTTGACTCGATAGCTCAATCAGCCTAGTCCCTAGGCCTCTTAGTTCGCCTATTTCGCGTTTCTGCATATTAATGAGGTGACGGTCACGGAAATCATTAGCGTGCACAGAGGACTTGGGACTAGTCTGTAGCTCAATAGGTAGAGCGACGGTCTAGATACCCAAAGATGCGAGTTCAAATTCCGCTCGAACCAACGAATTTTTTGTTGCTCGATTACAGTGTCAGATTAATATGAAACTAGTTTTTCTGTGCTTTTAAAGTGTTTGAAAAAGGAAAAATCCATTATCATTATATACTAAAAAATAATCATTTTTTACACATGTTTCGACTCGGTTAATTTTTGAATCGTGATGTAAAACAGCAAGCAATATTATGGCCATTTATACGGGACAAAATAAGTCGCGACTTGCATAAGATGCGACTTAAATAAGCGGAGTTATCGCATAAATGGTTCTCTACGGCTTTGGTCTTATTTATTTGCTATAGCTATAATGTTGTTTTGTTTGTTTTTGCTTTAATATGCAAGGCTAATAATTTTACGTTGTTTCAAGTTTCTGGCATGTGTAGTTAGACTTTTTGTCCAAAATTTCTTATTTAAGACGCGACTTAGATAAGAACAGCTAAAAGGCCTGTTCTTATGTAAGACGCGTCTTATCCAAGACGCGTCTTACATAAGAATTTTGTACCTTTTATATACGTTCAATGGATCATCAATTCATGGCCTGTATCCAGATACAATACTAGAACAGCGGGCTGTATTCAGATACGGCCATTGAATATTTCCGGGCTGTATCTGAATACAGCCCACTTACACTTACTCATAATTATCTATTCAATTCAATTAGCCTTTCTCACGATGACGAATATCCGCCATTTTTGGGTGGCATCCAATTCTCGTTAACAAATGCAGACAATGAAAACAATGTGAAAAGCATTTTTTCAAAATAATCTAACCAATTATACAAAGCAAACTTACCATAATTTGTCCAAAAAATTATAAAAAGTCGCTGTTATGTGGACTTATCTCGCAGACCTCGGCTGAAATGCCACCCAAAAATGGCGTAATTCATCGGCCCCGCTCTTCCCTGCTGAATATCAAAACCCTTCCCGTGCTTTTAGACGGTTGGCCTAATGACCGATATTTATGTTATTAAATACAGCCCGCAGAACTTCAAAGAAAACCGACTCAATTATGAAATAATACTAATTAACAATTAGACAACGAGGTCGAGTTGTCTAATTGTTTTAGTATAAACTTTAACATTAATTTACAACTAGGCTGCAAACACAATACAAAAGTACACAAAAAACATTATAAAGCCATTAAAGGTAAACAAATATTTTAGTGTTTGTTCGCGTAAAATGTTTTACAAAATTCAGTTTTAATTTTAAAATTTCATTGAGTGTATGTTATTTTGTCTATTTTCTTACCCTTAAAAATTGCCATTCCATATTTTTGTTGCTTTTTTCGGGGTTTTAGTTAGTACAGAATTGTTCAACAAGTCGTCCAAAAAATTATCAGACACTTCGGCAAAAGTGCAAAACGCGAATTTTCCGCCATTTTGAATTTTCTAGCGTATCCAATCAGAAGGCGTAGCAGTAGCGTATCCAATCAGAAGGCACGATATGTGATAGCCTACTAGCAGGTTTACACTAATTATTATTAACTCCCGAAGGGGGGCGAAAGAATTAATGGGGTCGCTGTTGAATTTCGTGTTTTAAATAATAATAGGGGCATAATAAGACATAGTCGTTTTATTATTTATCACAATTGGCCTTTCTCACGCCGCCATTTTTGAGTTGCTTTTCAGCCAAAGTCTGCGAAATAAGTCCACATAACAGCGACTTTTTATAACTGTTTTTTGACTGAATGATGGTAAATTTGCTTTGTAAATGGTTAGTTTATTTTGAAAAATTGCTTTTCACATTGTTTTAATCGTCTGCATTGGTTAACAAGAGTTAGATGCCACCCAAAAATGGCGGATATTCGTCATTGTGAGAAAGGCTAATTGTGCAGAGCCATTGCGGTGCACTCTAAAGAACTTTGTTTGTACCACTGAAAATAACATGGAAATTCAATTTTCAAACTAGCTGCAATTTCCATGTTATTTGGGTCGCTATTTTCAGCGACTCGAGTCCAATACGAAAAATGTCCCAAATGACTCGACTTAGTCTTGGGCTCGACTTGCTGATTTCCACTGTAAATAGTGCAAGCGACGTTCTTGCCAACACGGGCGCCACACGAGAATGGACCATTTGCATTATAGACTAAATTTTGATCTCAACAAGTCTAGACAAAATTTCATCACAGCTTGAAAGAGCATCACAAAATTAGTAATATTCCGAAGTTTCGTTGCGAAATGTTGTAAAATGCGGATAATATAGCCTTGCGAAGTTTGCCGTTCTCCAGTCATTTTCTATTACAAATTGGAAATTGACAGCCCCAAAGGGTATTGGGCTGTCAATTTCCCCGCGTAATTCAAAATGACTGAAAAACGGCAAACTTCGCAAGGCTATATTATCCGCATTTTACAACATTTCGCAACAAAACTTTGGAATAGCCTATTACTAATTTTGTGATGCCGCTCTTTCAAGCTGTGATGAAATTTTTATCTAGACTTGTTGAGATCAAAATTTAGTCTATAATGCAAATGGTCCATTGGTATAACTAGTTTTCAGTGACAGAGGCGCAATTTGCATCATAGCGCTCGTGTAAGGAAGCAGAAAACTTTAAAATCTCATGTTCTTTCATATGCGTTGATGATTGCCACAAACTGACACAAATACAGTTAACTGTGAGTTTCTAATCCAGTCTCCCCTCGGCAATCTGACGACCGTGGTGACAAAAATGTCTCTTACTTAAACTCGCTAAGGCCCGTTTCATACGCCGTACTTCACATGTGCCGAATACATTAAAGACAATAGATAATGAGCTGAAATGCCTCATTACCTATTGTTTTTAATGTATTCGGCACATGTGAAGTACGGCGTATGAAACGGGCCTAAGACTCGAGTTAACTCAGCCACAACTTGTACAGAATAAATTCATCCACA